TCCATGGAGTTGTGAAGAAAGACCTTTTTTCACAGCAGACAGCAGACAACATTGCTGCACTCTTAACTCCCCAATCTAGATTTTATTATGATATGTGAGTAGATGAGGAGAAGTTCATGACTGCAGAACCACCCGAAATATAAAACAAACAGTACAAGGGATTCTTAGCAGTATTAAACAGCAAGAAATACTTCAAGTCTGCTCAAATCTGGTAACACATTTGCCTTCTCTAAGAATGGAGCTTATACACTTTTTACTGGAGGATTCAAATGCTCCAAGCTCATGGGAGTTGACAAGTTTATTGTCCAGAGATGCACATAAGAATCTTTATCATCTCCTCAACACATTTAAGTCTGTCTCAATCTAACAGCAACTCGAACTTGACCAGAGACATCAACATACTTAAGACCAGCACCAGAACTACTAAGTTGTACACTAGAATTTGATTTGAAAACCTTTTGAGCAATATATGAAACTTGTTAAACAGTTGCTGTATCAAACGATTTGTGCAAATCTGCTTACTGTATCCAGGAGATTTACCAAGCAATGAACATCAATTCAAATACAGAGTGATGACCGAGAAAGACCTTGCTGTGATTTACAAGATAAATCTCAAAATCAAAAGTATGCAATAAAGATGAAATCAAACAGAAAGTTCTTCGATTTATGTCAAGACAGGAACTATGAACTAATTGTCCAATTAAGATCAAACCCGTTTAAACCTGTGAGATTTAGTAAAATAGATGCTTATGAACAGCTTACCTTTCTTAATTATATCATTCACCACAACAATCGAAAAACAATCTCTTTTCAATTGTTACCTGTTTCTGTTCTTCATTTCTTTCAAGATGCAGATCTTTCAATCTAATATGAACCTTTCAATCGATTTAAGTCAAAAACAATTATGTAAATGAGCGATATACTTGGTCTCCTTGAGCGATTTAGGAATAATATGATCAATGAGATTGAGCGATTTATCAAACCAATCAAAGTCCAGTCAAGGGGTATACAAATCCGGTCACTAGTCTGCTCAAGCGTTGGTCGAATTCGGACAGAATCCGCTCAAGAGGTGTATGATTTAGACTTGGAAAAATCAGATGAAAGTTGAACGATAAACTAATCCGATCAAATCCTTCTTTGAGTGTGAGCGATTTATGTTGAAACCTTGAGCGTTTTACTGATTCCTTGAGCGATTTATCCCTTCAACTTTGATGGAATACACGAGGAACTTGAAGTCCGGTCAAGAATCGTACGATTTACATGTTAATCTGATCAAAGCTTAAGCGACTTGGAAATCTGATGATCGATAAAGAATATGAAATTGAGCGATTTAAACTTGAAATGATCAATGAAACTGTGATCAATGAAAGAATCTTGTGCGATGAAAGACTGTGAACAATGAAGATGAAGCACAAAATGCGCCGATGAAACTGTGTTGGATCTAAAAGAAAATGGGCCTAGAGCTAAACAAACACAAAAACAGAAAAAAAAATTTTTAACCAAATTGGATCAAAAACACTGGTATTTAAAAAAATTAAGAACACGAAAAATTTTAAAAATCACAAAAAAATTACCAGATCTTGAAATCAAATAACCAAATCATAAATATTTGTGAATAACAAAGATTAACCAAGTGATTCCGCACATTTTGATCATGGTATTAACACGAAAACACAAAATTTTCCAGAAAATTATCTTCAAAACTTTTGATTTCTTCTTCTGATTTCGTGCACACACTGCTCTAATACCAATTGTGAGTCCCACTCTGATCAATCTTCAAGATATCTTCAATGAATCCATGGCAGTTTATGATTTAGCCTTGAAGAACATGAGAGGAGAGACGAGAGAGTTTGAGAGGAAAAGTCAAGATCTGAAATCTAGTCAAACTTCAATATACGTATTCTGAATTTTACAATGGAGCTCTTGCAACAAATACAAGACTAACACCTTATTTATAGGGTCAAACAACAAAGTCCTAGTCAAAGTCAAACCTTACATACAAAGTCAAACACGATGTCTATTTTAATTATAGACAATAGTAACTTTCAAGACGAACACAATTTTACACTGACTTTCAGTCCTAACAATAATAAAATATATTAGTTCCATAGTTGAACACTTGTTCGTATGTTCAACACTTGTTGATTTTTAGTTACACTCACATACTTGAAATACATTTTTTATGTCATATTTGTGATAATATTCAATTATTTTCAATTAAGTTCAAATACCTTTAATTAAGTTTAGTTACTTTTACTTATCCTTATTTAGCTTCAATTACCTTAACCAGATTCAATGACATTCAAGTACCATAGAAAATACTATGTCACATGTAAAATAACGTTTAATTACTTTTATTTTATGCCCAATGGAACATGAATAAAACAATATGTTAAGAGTATGTAACATCAAAGATAACTTTCAATTACTTTTAGTTAGTTTCAACTAGATTCAAGTACCTTCACCTAGGTTCAATTACCTTCAATTACATTATCCTACTTCCATATATTCATTTAACTTGATTATATTCTAATACATTTTAATTTATAGATTAAATATATGTTCAATTAAACGTGAAGGTAATAGTGTCATTTATGAATTAAAGTAACTTACAACGATCTTTTCTTGTAGAAAGAAAGATGTCTACAACATTTTTTTTTATTGTGTCACAATGTCCTTGTCCAAATTCACATTCTCCTCCTTTCTGTTTCGTTTATTTCCCCTTTTTTTGTCATCGACAGATTTTTCTTGTTTTCAGCAACACTTTTTTCTTCCATTTTTTTCATTAATTTCTTTCTCATCTTGATTCTTTTCACAGTTAAATTTCTGAAGAATACATGTTATATCTTTGACAAAGATGACAATCTTGCTCTAACAAGCTCTCGTCAAGGGAATGTATATGCCATCAACATGGATTCTTCTTTCACTGAGAATAGTTGTTTTCTCTCTAAAGCCTCTTCAGATATCAAATCGTTGTGGCATAAATGAATTTCTCATCTCAATTTCAAGACGCTGAATGAGCTATCTGGAAAATATCTTGTCACTGGCCTTCTTCAGCACTCTTTTGTAAAAGAATCTCTTTGCTCAACATGTGAAAAAGTAAAGCAAACAAACACTAGTTTTAAATAAAAAAAAGTCTCTTCAATGACCTCTCCGCTTTAGCTACTGCATATGGATTTATTTGGTGAAGGATATCCTGAGGCAACTTTGGTATACTGCTGAAGCAAAGACGGTGACTAAGAAGAAAGGAAATTCTATCATCTAGGTCTTTTGTGTGATCAACAATACGAGGGTGAGTTTTGGCTTCTCAACAGTAAGACTGCTCTCAGACTTCCTAAGTCCTTTCCCTACTCCAGAGATCCAGACACTGAGCATATCGTCAAAATTATGGACGATATGCACTATGACTAGCCTCTGAACAAGGACTCCAACACTAAGCTCAACAAGTTGTTGACAAAGATTAAGAAGAACAGGATGTTAGTGATCTAACAACTTCATTTAGTGCATGGGTGGGAAGACTAGTAGCCAAGATCAAGAAAGTTGGGTGACGCTGAACATCGGATGCTTAGTGATCAGAGACATCAACATCGACTACACGAAACTCATTTTTGATGATCTGGTACTGAAGTTGAACAAGCATCAACGATAAAAGGTGGTACCCTACACCAGGTTCCGGAGAGGGATTCTCTCAAGAATCTTAGCAACCAAGTACCCCATTTGGAGTGACCTCCCCATCTGTCGGCTTGGATCAAGGATTCTTGATCACAAGACCAAGCCTTTAGACGTTGGTTTATTCCTTCCACTGCTGAGTATAGCCAATGTTCCTCATCTTTTCTTCTTTTTCTTCTGTAGCTATGACTGTGGCAAACCCCCCTCAGTCTATCCCAGGTACTACCACTTTATCATCTCGAAAGAGGACACAATCTAAAGCCACTGTTAATCCCTCAAAAGGGTTACAAAAGCCACAGGGGAAGCCATCTAATCTAGCTGAGACCTCTCAACAGGTCTCAACTATTGAAATTTACCTTACCCCTGAGGCATCTGCTGTTACCCTCCCTACCTCTTCAGCAATCTCTTCAGTTGTTTTTATATGTATGGCTCCTACCCCAACCACTTCATTGACTCAAATCACTAAATGTGTGGTTTCCAGCATAGCCACTACTGATCCTCCAGTTTTATTCTCAACCGTTCTCTCCTCTGATCTATCTATGGTCTCTATTACATGTGTTGATGATCTCATAGAGGTTGTACCCTCCATTGGTGAAGCCATCACCACAAGACCTAAGGATGTTCCGCTTGAAACTTCTCAGATACATGTTGTTGATCATTAAGACAGTGCATTTGAGATGCCTAGCGGTAATCCTTCAGATAATACTGATGACCGCTCAGGTATACACAAAACCTCCCTTTCTTTCTTTGTTACTAACATTTAGCTCTCTTACGCTCAATGCTCTCCTATTTCTATAGGTCTAATGGAGAATGAACCCCCAGTCATCGAGACTGACGCCTATGACATGGTTGGGGATGTCAAGCTGTTGCTCCCTGTCGTTGCAACTATCCTCCACACGATGTATGAACTGCACCAAAGAATGCCCTCAGAGGATGATTTGAATCACGACCTCTATGCTGTCCAAGATGAGGTTCGTAAAGTCAAAGAAACGCTGAATGCCATGAAGATGAAAGTTCATCAAAATTTTGAAGCTGTCGCTACACTCTCCAGCAAAGCTGAAGATGTTCAGACCCAACTTACCAGGCATTGTGAGCTTCTTGAACGGATTTTCTAACTTTTTTAGCAACTAGCACCTATCCCTGAACCTGCCTTCAGAGAAGCTGATCGTCAACAGCTGGGCAGAGTTGTTGAATTCAACCTTCATCAAGCCGAAGCAATTGTTTCCATCGAGCAAAACCTGCAAGACTTTGTATATCACCTCCCTCTCTCAACTATTAATGTTGATGATGACAAATAAGGGGAGAAGGATACAGACAGGGAGGATAACGACATGGAGAATACAGCTGCTGAGGATGCCAATGCCATCGATGATGATGATGTCGTAGTTACTGCTAACCATGAAGACATTCATCCTTCCACCTCTGCATTTCCAATTGTTGGTGATGATGATGAAGATGACGATGATGATGATGAGGACTCTGAACCTCAAATTCCAGATGCAGGTACTGACCTTAGTGGTGATGACGATGATGGAGATGACGATGATGATACTTCTATCCAAGTCATTCCAAGACAGCCTGTCAAAGGAATCTTCTTCAGGGAACCTACATCAAAGGGGGAGAAATCATCAGAAAACCAACACTCCTCTGGTAAAAGGAAAGAAGTGGCTGAAGAAAACCTCATCCTAATTCTTGGGGCAATCAGTCATTCTGAGGATGTAAACACTTCCAGGTGTGTACCTATTTCCTCATAAACTGAACCATCTATCACAATCCCTCTATCTCTTACTGCAACAACCCCTCTTGGTCTCTCAACCCATCTCCCATCTTTTGAAACCCTAGACGATGATGAAGATGAATATGAAGCCAACATCCTAATACCCAAGAAGTCGTCTAGACAACCTGTGTGTTAAGAAGTTGAAGAAGACCTGAGGATGGCTCAGCTAATAAGTCAACTAAACCAATCCAGAGTAAAATTCCTCTTCGTACCTCTAGATGTGTTGAGCTCGACTTTCTTTCACAAGATGAATGTGAAGAATCCCTACCTGCAGAACAAGAGCAGAAGAAACATCAACAACAAATTAAAGACAGCTAGAAGTTAGCCAAGACTCTAGCTGATTAGGCACTTGCTGAAGGGAAATTCTCATAGAAGGAGTCGCTCAGTGCTCAAGACCAACTCTTAGCAGAGGCTGAACGAAAACGTCTATGGGTGCTGAACTTGAAGGATCATAACCTCAACTGGTGCAGAGCAAGGATCAAAAAAATAATGATCCCTCACAAAATCTCAAACGTCACTATCAGTGGTCGAATGAAAGATGGTGCTCTTCTTATTTCAATGGTCATATTTCAGGATAACAATAACACTGTCACTGAGTGTCCCTCCTTCCTCAGTCAGTATGGTTTCTATCAATGGCTCGATATTCGACAAGCTATCTAGAAGCCCAAATCCAAGCACAAAGCTTACATTGAAGATATTATACACAAAATATTCTATAAGATGTCAAAGATCATCGAGGTTCCTCCTTTGCCAAAGAAGTCCTCTCAAAGATGACCCCTTTCTGATTTTGGACATGGTGTATCCCACAAGAACGAGCATGAAAAAAATTCTCAGGGGATGAACTTTTCAAGGATATAAAGAAGCCAAATATCTCAATGCTGAATTCGTCATTGCTTGAGAAGGGTCCTTATATTCCCAACATAGTGCATGTGAAACCTGAATATGACTTATGTTCATTGACTATGATGGTCAATACAGGTTTTAGCGAGTATCTAAGCTCCATCTCTACCCAATAGATCACCTTGCATATCTTCGAACTTGGCTGAACGAAGACATCTATGGAGAGATGATGAATCGTAAGATTCAAAAGGAAATTCTCAGAAGAAAGATTCAAGGAGAAGATGTACCTGACTACATCAACTTTGAGAATCTAGATTAGAAAAACCTTTTAGTCATATAAATCTTGTATTTCTTTATATTTTCTTTCAGTGTATAGCTTTTATGTTTTAAGCCTACCAAGACCACTTGTAGTAAGTTGTAATATTTTCTCTGGTAAGATATTTCAATAAAATGATTGATTCACTGAAAAAGATCCTTGAAAAGAGTAAATAGGACATGTACTTTGAGTTCTATTTATTTCTTACATCTGCTGACACCTTTCTAGTAAGTGAATATGCTCTCGGTATTCAGTTATTAATATTGTGTAAGTTTATTCTTTCCTTGTAATCCTTTACGATTAAAATAAATTTTCATAGTAAATTGTATCACTGATAAAAGATCTGAAAACAATTAAAAAGGACAAGTATTTTGCTAGTACCTTTTCTTTACTGTTATACCTAAAGAAAATTTCTTTATGTTGCTTTATCACCATCAAATAGAGGGAGATTGTTGATCCTTTCTCTCAGTGATTTGATGATGATCCTTTTTATCTTCTTAAGTGTACTGTCTCTTTATTCAGCTTCAATGATCATCACTGAGTCTGTTCAGTGATCGTTGAATATGTATTGTAATTCATAGAGACAAGTGTTCTTCAGGAAGACAAAACTCACACCACAGAACCTTCAGCGATATCGAAGATAAAGCTGAAGATAGAGACAAACAAGTTCATAACCTGATGCGGTTTTCAGTGATAACAAGCATGTCTACACAAGTGTGAAATCTACTCAAGATTCAGCAAACACTGATGAGACCTCAACGTTATTCCGGTGTCAGCAATCAAATGAATCTTGTTGAACAAGATTAGTTTTTGTCTTGTCCTTCTACACACAAAAGATAAATCCATACATCTCAAAGTAAAGTACTGTACTGAGTCACTTTATTATCTCCAAGCGTTCTTACCTACTTTATGAAAGACTACTGTTCATATACGGCCAAAAGACTGTATATCTGCAACAAATGACAAGCTCAGCTCTAGAAGCTTGCCACGAGCTTTGTACCTTATGACTTGCCTTTAATGCAATAGGTATAAATAGCTGAGAAGTTCTTCCTTCTCAATAATCTTCCCTATCTCTATCCAAGGAAAGCTTCCTTGCCTTGAAGATCTTATGACCCAAGAAGATACTTCATTATCTCCCTCAACCACTCTAACCAGTGAAGATCACAAGACTTCGTAACCTTTTCTTTTAGCAAGTCTTTTCTTTTTTGCTTCCTGTAACTTGTGTGTTTCTTTGATTGTTTAGATAAGTTTTGTATCTTATCTTTTCCGTAAAAAATATGTAAAAATCTGTATTGATCTTCTTTATCAATAAAATATTTTTAAAAGTGAAACTTGTTGTGTTTGTATTCATCCCCCCTTCTACAAATTGTTACCTGTAAACTCATGTAGATCCGGATGGGACCAACATGTAAACATTCTCGGTAAGAGTGCCCTAAAGAAATGTGTTGTTAGTGTCAAGTCGGTGGAGAGACCAACCACGACAAATGGCTAGGGACAGAATAAGGCAAACAGTGGTAGGATTTACAACTGGGCTAAAGGCTTCAGAGTAGTCAATGTTATGACGTAAATGAATGCCCTTTTCAACAAGTCGGGCTTTGCACCGTCAATGGAGCCATCTGGATTATATTTTGTAAAACCCAAAAAATTTAAATATAAAATAAACAAATAATTTCATGGGAGTATTTAATATAAAAATAAGGATGGTGACCTAAAATATTGAGTAAATAAATTAGTTGTCTAGAACAATTAATATCTATGTAATTTATTGAATGAAATAATTTTAGGAACCTTAAAATAGAAGATAATTAAAAGAAAGGAACATTTTTGAAGGTGAATGTTGAATTAGAGGTAAATAGTGTAAAGTGAGTCAAAGTAGTGAGAATAGGGGGTCAGACATAAAATCACAAAGTGCAGGGGGCCGAATGTCATCATTTTCAAAGTAAGAGGACCTGTTTTGCCAATAGTACATGTCTGTTTGGAGAAAATGACCTCACAGTTTAAAGCTCGTGATTCGACCCAATTTCGTCAACACATAAGCCAAAACTCTTGCATATAAATGTAGAGCACCCGGCTTAGGATCGTTTTCATTCAAATAGCTAGTAAAATCTTTGAGTTTTGAGAGAAATCTGTGTTTGAAATTCGTAATAAAAAATCTCGGCTTTTCACCGATTTTGGGTGAGATTCTTAACCAAATATCTTGATTTTTATATATATATATGACTTTGATTTTAAGTACTTTACTAAACCCCAGTAGCCTCTTGTCTCAAATTTGTGTTTAGATGGTTCAATTTTTATGTTTTAAAGTTGTTGAGTTTTAGTTTTAAAAACAAAACTTTAAATGAGAAAATAGAATTCATTTCTTGAGGAAAATTTGTTTTCTTTATATCAAAATGTTGGTAAAAATATTACCAAGGGTTTGGTGCAAAAAGAATAAAGAAAAAAAAATCAAAAAACGAGTCATTTTATGATAACTGGATCTTGGTTATCACCCAAGGTATTTAATACGTGATTATCTGATTAAATGATTACGTGATAGCATGATAAATTTGTTTTATTTGATCATGCTAGTGTATGGAAATTATGTGCATAAATGAATGCAACAAATATGTGAATTCTATGCATAAGAAATACATGCATGATATGCATGTATGTATGTGAGTATGCTTTAAGTAAAAACATGTATTAAATTATGCATGTGTGCATAATTAATTATATGGATAATTGGATGTATACATGAGTTTGTATATATTCATATGCATGAAAAGTTATGTATGCATGCAGGGGGAGGCATGTATAATAAAGGGCTGCTAAACCGCCTTTCTTTTTATAGAAAGGGGTATAAATAGGTAGTGAGGGTTTCAAATAAACCTTTTGGCTATTTTGAAAGAAAAACCAGTGAGAGTTGAAAAAGATGTTTGATCGGATTGTTCTTGACCGGATTTCAAGATCAAGTTGATTTCAAGTGTTTGGTTTCAAAAGATTTGAGGTGAGTGATTTCTAAACCTTTTTGCATAAAATTTGTTACTGGTTTTATTTGAATGTTATTTATCATTAGAAAGAAATCARTTATTTGTTCAAGGGTTTTTATCCGGGTAAAGGCTGTTCGGATTAAGTTTTAATCGGACAAAGCTTGTCCGGATTATTTGTAAATCGATCAAGCTTTGGGCGATGTATTGTCCGGACTTTTATCCGGACAAAGTTGTTGAAATTTATTCTAAGTGTTAAATCGGTCAATTGTTGGGCGATTAAGTCTTAAATCGCTCAGGTGTTGAACGGTTTAACCTTAAACCGGTTATGTGTCAAGCGGATTAAGATTGTTTATCTTTTTGAACTAAGTATGAATACAACCATATGGTGACCGGATTATTTTAAATCGGTTGAGCTTTGGGCGATGTATTGTCCGGACTCTTTATCCGGACAAAGTTGTTAGAATTATTTCAAGTGTTAAATTGGGCAAGGCTTGGGCGATGAGTTGTCCGGATTTGGTAAACCGGCTAAGACTTGACCGGAGATGAAGTCCGGCCAAGCCTAGGTTGACCGGATTTGTTTTATGCCTTGTGCCTGATTGATAAAAATTGTTATTTTATCATAAAATGAAGGTTTGATATAAATGATTTTGGATTAATAATAATTCCATTGGCTGCGGTCTATTTGGAATTGTTTTATGAAAAGTTTTGATGAGGAAATAAGGGTGGCATATCAAGGAGAGGTGTACCATGGGATAAGGGTGGCATATCAAGGAGAGGTGTACATCATAAGGGTGGCATTTGTATGTGTGTTGTATGATATAACTCTTTCT